AACCATAACATTAAAAAAAACACACACACAGTGGGAGGGACTCACGGCGAGTTCTGTGAGGAGAGGATTCAGTGTGGGAAACAATGTTTCCAGGGGTGGAGACCTTCTGCACCCGCATGTTCACGTGCTACACAAAATTTTCAAAACTCTTGAAATATATACTTCAAAGGGGTGCATTTTGTTGTATGTAAATGTCAACTCAATAAAGTGGGTTTTTCCCCTTGTTTTGTTTCGGTTTTTGAGACACAGTCTTGCTGTGTTGCCCAGGCTGGACTTCATCTTCCTGACTCAGCCTCCTGCACAGCTGTGATTACAGATATGCATGCTCCACTGGGCCTGGCTTTGATAAAGTTGCTTATTTATTTATTTAGTTTGGTTAGTGGTTTGGTTTGGTTTGAGACAGGGTCTCTTTATATAGCCCATGTGGCATTGAACTCTCAGCGACCCTTCTGCCTCAGCTTCCCAAGTGCTGGGATGCCACGCGTGTGCCAGCACACCCAGGGATAAAGTTGATTTTTTTAAAAAAAGCAGGTAAACACCCAGTATGAATTTATGAAATGAACAAATGTGTTATTAAGTGTCTCAGGTGACTGATGTCACCTTCGTCCCAACTGAGGGTCCCCGAGTGTCCCCAGAGATCGGCCTTGGGGCTCCTGTCCCGGTCGCACCCCCCCGAAGTCCCTGTCTCCCCTAGAAGCAAGGAAAGACGCCCCGTGCCCAGCCCTCTCCCAAGATGCCTCCCAGGATTTCCGGGGCCTCCCTTCCAGCTGCCGCGTGCCAGCCCTGCCAGCTCAGCGCGCCAAGGTCACCGGTGCCATGCCCAACTGCAGACCCTGTGCCAGCTACACAGCACCGAACCCTGGCCAACTCCGCCACCTGCTGGTCCTTTGTAGAACTGCAGCCCTAGAACCGCAGGAAGGAGTGACTATTTGAGAGTCCACAATTGATCCTAAGGACTTGGAGCCCTGCAAGGGGCTCTGAGACACAAGGGAATGGAGGCGCAGAGAAGTCACACAAGTGCAGACCTGAGATTCCTCCCCAGGCTGTCAATGTTCCCAGCGCATTTCTTTTTCTTGAGACAGGGTCTTGCCGCGTAGCCCAGGCTGGGCTCAAACAGACAGCGATCCTCCTGCCTCAGCTTCCCGAGTGCTGGGATCACAGGTGTGGACTATCTGACTTTCCAGTTTAAGTCCTGTCCAGGTGACATCTTGCTTGTGGAGAGGGAGGAAATGTTCCCAACTGTCCCCTCTCGGTGCCTTCCTGGACAGCAGAGGCCCAAGCTAGGCTGCCCACAACTGTCACTGTTGCCACCAACACTGTCAGTCGGAGCTGGAAAGCCACGGCTCCATCAGTCAAGTCAAACGAGGTCTTGAGTGTGTTCCGTGGACCTAACCGCCCCGCACTTCTATCTCAATAATAACCCAAGAGCGCGGTGTTATTTTGCATCTCATTTGCATGCGATTAACTCCAAGTCAAAGCAAATGGGGTCACCCTGGCCCTGTGCTGCTGGTCCCACCCGAGCGCCCCTGCCTTCCTGCAGCCCCTGCCCCCTCTGAGGCTCCTGGAGGACCCACCCGTCCTTCCTGCTCCCACGCAGCCCCTGCCACCTGGCCGCCCACCGGAAAAAAACTTTTCCCCAAGTTCTCGAGAAGTCGCGTAGGATCCAGGAGAGAAAAATCAAAGTAATAAAACCTCATTTAATTCCTAGCGGAGGGCAGAGCTGCGAGCTGCAATTATCTTAGTGCCGAGCTATTTTTACCCTCTCCATCTCTGTCTCCTGCCTTTCTGTCGTGAGCCTTTCCCTTCTCTCCGCTTCTCTTTGTGTCTCCATCTCTCACACGGCTTTCTAGCTCTTTTTGCTTTTGTCTACCCCCCACCCCGCTCTGTACCCCCTCCTGCCAGCCTGGGCTCCGGGAGATGTCTCCCGGCTCGGACTCCGGGGTCCCCGAAATAGGTCCTTCATCAATAAACAAGCCCTAGCCAGGGGTGGTGGTGCAGGCCTGTAATCCCAGCACGGGGGAGGCTGAGGCAGGAGGATCCCGGAGAGTTCAAAGCCAGCCTGAACTACACAGCGAGACCCTGTCTCAAAAAACCAAACAAGTAATAAACAAGTCCTGCTGCTGAACTGAGGCTCCGTAGGGGTCCCCAAGGCCTCTTCTGCTCCACCAAACACCGAGGTACAGCAGGAGGTCATGGCCTCCTTTCTGCCTCTGTCCCCTTCACCTGCCCCATGATCCTCCCATGCCCCCAGCCCTGGAAGCCAAGCCCCTTTTCCCACCATAGTCCATGCCCTTCCTGTGACCCTGGTTATTTATCCCCCAAGCCCTGCCAACCTGGTCTCTGCCACTCCCCGCTGCACCCCAGGGGGAGAAGAGGTTCTGGGCCAAGCTAGGGGTTGCCAGAGATGCCCACACCCCTGGCATCCAGCTGTGCCCCAGACAAATATAAAAGTCAACAGACACACAGGGGCGGGAGCCAGGCCTGAGCCAGAGGAGGCCGTGCTCAGCTGGCAGGGGCAGAACTATGCCCCTCTGCACTGAGTGAACATGGCTCCCTGACCCCACTGCCCCGAGGGTCCTCTGGCCTTTCGCTAGGCCAAGGCCACTGTGCTCGGCTGGGAGAGAGGCTGCAGGGAGGGCTCTGGGCTGCACCAGGCCAGCGAATGACCCAGCACGGAGTTGGCCAACACAACGTGTCCATGCGCACCCTCCCGGCCTCGCCCCCGCCTGCCTGGATGGTGAGGCAGGGACAGGCGGTCCCTCTTGTCCCCTCCGGTGCCCACACGCACCTCTGTGGAGGGTGAGGTGGCACCTGGGAGCAGCACACAC